GCGGCGGCGGCGGCGGCGGCGGCGGCGGCGGCGGCGGCGGCGGCGGTGGCGGCGGCGGCTGCGGCTGCGGCTGCGGCTGCGGTTTGGCAGCGGGGTGCGGCGGCGGCAGCGGCGGCGGATTGGCCCCGAATAGCTGCCCATCCCAAGACGACTGCTGAATGTGCCGCGGCTCGGGCCAGACTCGGGTGCCACATATGTGTAGGGGGGGCGGGTGGGAGTGAGCGAGACGGCTTGCGGGCGGGGAGGGGGGGACTTGACCCCCCCCCCTACCCCCTACCCTGGGCCTGGGCGGGAAGGGCAGCGATCGGTTGGAGGGTCCTTTGTCGGCCCCTGGGGGGGGGGGGGGGGCGATTTTGGCCATCATTCGCGAAGATCGCGGCCCCCGAAGGGGGGGCCTCGATCTGGGCCCTTCCTTTTTTGATGGATTGCTTCGAAAATGGCCCGGCGAGGCGCTCCAAGGCCCCCGAGAGCGCCCCGAGAAAACCCCAAAAGGGCGCCAAAGGGGCCCCACGAGGGCCAAAACCAATGCCCGAGCGGCACCCAAGGGCCCCCCCCCCAGAGAGCCCAACATGACCTCCAAGATGGCCCAGGTAGCCCAAGCCGGCTCAAGATGGCCCCCAATATGTTCCAAACGGCCCCAAGACCGCCCCAAGAGCGCCCGAGAGCGCTCCAAGCAAACCCCAGAAGGCGGGTCGCCGACTCCTGATGGGGGGGGAATGACTTGCCCCCCCCCCAATCCTGTAATCGAGGGCCTCCAGAGAGCCTCCAAGATGATCCCAATAAGCCTTCCAGGGCTACGAAGAGGGTTCCAAGAGCCCCCCCCCCCCCTCCCCAAAAACACACGCACACACACGCACACACGCACACACACACACACACTCACACACACACACACACGCACACACGCACGCACACACACACACAGACACAGACACACACACACACACACACACTCTCACACACACACACACACATTCACACACACACATTCACACACACACACATGCACACACACACACACACACACGCACGCACGCACACACGCACACACGCACACACACACACACACCCAGAGAGCACCAGCAACACCAGCAGCCACAATAATACCTCCAAGTGGTTCCATGAGTCCTCGCCCGCGTCGTCCTCATCCTAGTCCGTCCTCTTCGTCCTTGTCCTCATCCGGGTCCTCGTCCTCTTCGTGCTCCTCGTCCTCGTCCTCGTCCTCGCCCCCCCCCCTCCTCCTCGAGCCCCCCCCCCCCACCACCGCCGCCCCCCCATCCTCCCCTCGCGCCCGCGCGGCGCCCAAAGATGGCCCCGGGAGGCCTTCCGACGCCGCTGCATTGCTCGCTTCGTTGCCCGAGATGTGTCTCTTCGCCCCTTTGCCCCGCCAGCTCTGAAGGGGGAGATTTCTGGGGTGCATGCCAAGAGGTTCCTGTCAGTCGCGGAAGGTCGTTGCAAATTACGCTGTTGACGGGAACCAACGCCGCGGGGGCCCAGCCTGGTAGGTCGCTGAGGCCCCTCCAACAAAACCCTGACGCAGGGTGAACAACCGCGGGGCCGTCAGCCTCGGCCGCCGCGCACGCGGCGAAGTAACCGCAGAGAGGCTCGCAGTCCTGGTTCGCAGCTGCTTCCGTCAAGTCGACCACGGCGATATCAGCGTCAAACGCACTGCGCGACGCAATCCTGTTGATAGCTTCCTCGCCGGGCATGGACGTCAGCAGCTTCGTCCAGACATGAAATGTAGGGCATCTCGGGCATTGATGCTGAACTGCAAGCGTATCCGCCGTCTGCTCGTTGATGGCCAGTGTAGGTCTGGGCGTGATCCTCCAGCGTCTGTCGAGCTCGGCTCTTCAACGCCAGATAGTAAATTAGAACGTCATTCGGCCAGCGTCCGTTGTTCCCATCCACGTCGGGCGGCTCGCCCTGCGTCGCCTGGCCCGCGTTCTCGCCCTGATCTCCCATCGTCTCGCCCTCCGCCATCTCCCGCTGCATCTGCAAGATCTTTTGCTTATCCACCTTCGCGGTGTAGAACAACAGCTGTTCACGTGCGGGTAGCAGGTCTCGTCGCTGGAGAAGCTCGTCCACGCTAGTCCAGACGCGGCACTCGTCGCCTGCGCGAAGTCCCAATGATTGCGCGGCCCTGTAATCCAGGGAAATTCCTGGATGAGGGCCCTGTAATCCATGCGCGGCGGGCTCGCAATTCCGCCATTCGGAATCTCCGCCAAAATGCCCGAAGAAGCGTTCAGTCCGGCTTCTTCCTCAGGCTCTCTACTGTCTGCACGCTGGGCGGCGTAGTCTGATCCCAGGTTCCGCGCGTGGGCAACGCCCAGATCCCCCCGATCAATCCCCCCCTGGAATAGCGACCGCATCCGGTAAGCCACCTTCCGGCTCCGGCGGTGGACCAGGACGGAAGCACTGCCATGCTCATCGGGAACGAAGACGTAGACACCGACGATCCCGACGCACTTCGGCCTGGGGAGCGAGGGATCGAAGCTGGGCGCCCGCGTTTCCTCGACTGCCCCCACGACTGCGGCGTCGCCAATGTCTCCTTCGATGGGAGGTGGCTGCGCAGACGAGGAGGCAGCAGCAGCGCGTCTCTTGGGCCCTCCAGTTGCCATTGGCTTAGCTTCGGCCAGGGCCAGGGGCTGCGTTGCCTCCTCGGACTGCGGCTCTTCCTGCGCTTCGGCCTCGGCAGCTCCCCTTCTCCGCGCAGATGTCGCGGGGCTTCTTGGAGTCCTGCGGGGATTCGTCGGCGGCGTCGGCGCCGGATGCTGCGCCCGGCGGCCCGCGGCTGGGACCCCCCCTGCTCGTCGCCACCCTTGCTCGAGCCCGCGTCCTCGACGTCCTCGGCCTGCGCGGCGCAGCGCTTGATCTTCTCGTTCCTACGGCGCCCTCGGTGCATGGCCCTCCAGGCTTCGGCAGCTTGGATGAGCAGGGTCGAGCGCGTCTACTGAAGGGCGTGCGACCCAGGTTCTCACTTGCAATTTCTCGAAGCCCCTTTCGAGCCCCCCGCAGCATCCGCCAAGTCCGCCA